TTTACAAGTTAGATAAAATAATTACAAAGTTTAAGGACAATTTTCATATGATTATTGTACAGAAACACTAAATACATAAAATTTCTTCGCTTACTAGTGATTCTTTTTACCAGTCACTTGAAACACCATCTTTGAGGCTTAGTAACATCATAGAGATTCCATTTTTCACTTTTTAGACTTTGACAGGAGCGTGTCAATATCCTGAAGAATTTCAGAGGTTTTTTCCAATGCTATCAATACTTTCTTTTCATTAACTTCTAGCAAGGCTTCAGAAGATTTAGGTTTGCAATGATCAGAAGACTGCTGATTTTTCTTATTATAAGTCTGGCTTAGGATACCACTATTTTCCAGTAACACTGAGTTGATTAGTTAAGGAGTTTTCGCCTATATTTTTCATTAGTTTTGCTTTCAGAAAGGCTGACTTTTTGTCAAAATATTATCAATTGGGATTTCTTAGGCTCATGCCATTTTTTTAATTTTTTTTTAACAATTCTTAATATATTCAAGTTGGGACTTCAGAGCTCATTTAGTCCACCCTTATAGATGAAGAAACTGGTTAGATTGTTAAGAGAAGAGAAAATATACGTGTATGGGGATGGAGGTAGGTGGTGAGGAGAAATATAAGAATGAAAATTTCAGTAGTATTTCTCTAAGTGAAAACGTGAGGTGGGAATGATAGGGAACAAAGTAGGAATGATAGAATTATAAACAACCTGTGCGGTGTTTGTGTTTTTTAATTTAAAAAATTTTAAAACGTCTTTTGTTGCAGAGCTACTTTATCATTTGAGTAGGATTTAGTCAAACCAGTTGTCAAGGCCAGTGATGTAAAATCGGAACATATCGAATTTTAACATTTCGGTAAAGTGGATGATAGCTGGAACAGGAAAATTACAGACTGAAGCCACAGAATGAAAGACTCAGAGGAGGCCTACAGGCTGGAGATTGTATTTACTGCCAGGACTGTGGAGAGCAACACACACTCTAAGCTGTGTGGTCGGCCGCCATCTTGATTGTTGTTGTTGTTGTTAAGTACTGTCTAGTCGGTTCCGACCCATAATGAGCCCGTACAGGGTTTCCGAGGCTGTAAATCTTTATGGGAGCAGAACGCCTCATCTTTCTGCCGCGGAGCCACTGGTAGTTTCGAACTGCTGGCCTTGAGGTTCGCAGCCCGATTTGTAACCACTACGCTACCAGAGCTCCTTCCATCTTTGATTAGGACACTGTTTTTCCTGACACTGATGATCAAGTGATTTGTTTGTTAGGCAATCCGCATGCTATCCTTGTTTCCTAAAAGGGGGATTAAGTTTCTAGCAGCGATCAACCCATCATTTTTCTGTTCCAGTTACTATTCCATTTTACAAATTCGGGTCTGCTCTGGTTTTGCTTCGTTGGTTGTGATTGAACCAGGAAGAACTGGAGTAAACAAAAATCAGAAGAGAAATTTAGATAAAGCGGGGGAGACAATATAGAATTTATAAGAAAATGTAGTCAGGGACTGGTTTCAAACAGTTAAAATTTAGAATATATATAACTATATAATTGAAAATATTTCCAAAGACCTTAATCATACTTTACTATTTTTGCCTGCTGTAAACCCAAAGAAAGTTATTAGCATGGTGTACCTTGCAACAGACAAATGCATCATAAATTACAATCTTAAACTAATCTGTGCTGATTCAATAAAGCTCAGCAGTATGTAAATACAGGTTCACAGGTCTAGAAAGGAAAAGGAGTAGTTATGCAGGACAATCAATTCTGCTTAAAGGATACAGTTAAACTTCTGTATCTTTTCAAGTTCAGAAGCAACAGACCTGTGCAAGAAAAAAGAATTTTAAGTTTATGATACTTGGCTGATTCGTTTATATGCACAAAATTTCATATATGTATACCTGATTTTTTTTCATATGGAATAGAAATTTAAACAGAAGAATCTAGAAGGTAAGAACTCTTTATTTTAGTTATATTTATTTGACTCAATTGATATTTATTAAGCATTTTATTTTAGATGATGTCGTTTTAGTATAATCGGATCATCTTTGCAGAAGAGTACTTACGATCTGTCAGAACAATCATTTGATAAGAGTAATTAAAAGGCAATTGTTAAGTACCGCCAAGTCGGTTCTGACTCATAGTAACCCTGCATAGGTTTTCCAAGAAGTGGCTGTTGTGCTTGAACCTCTGACCTCGTGGTTCAAACCGATCTTGCAGTGCAACACATTCATTCACAGTGCCACTCGAGGACTCCTAAAAGGCGATAAATACAGGGAGCTAAAGTGCTTCAAGAGACATGCTGAAGTTGGATACATCTATTCTCTTTTGGAAATAAGATAAGCAAATAGAATAAGTTGTGCATAAAGCAACCAGAAACAAAACATTTCAGTTGGAGAGGCAAAGTATCATGTTCCTTGTCTAGTTCAGAACCACAGTTATCTAGGAGAAAAAGGAGGCAAACGGCTATTGAGAGCAATGCCTCTTTTTGTTCTTTGATTGCATAATCTTGCAGATTTCATCCCCAAATGTTAACTGGCTTGATTAGACAGACAACTGTATAAAACAATCCAGATGATACAAAGGCAAAAAAAATTGCAGATATTGAGAAAATGTATGTCCTTTAAGACAACTAATATTTTTCTAAGTGGGAAGGAAGCTCAAAATCACAAAATTCAGAATCTGTTTGTAATTGCCTGTAAGGCTTTCTGCTCCCATGAAGATTTAAAGTCTTGGAAACCCTATACAGGGTCGCTGTGAGTCATGGAACCAACTCAGCAGCTTTAACAACCACACCGTGTAATTACTATGATAGGTTCCAATGTGATTTGAGCATTCCCAGCTATGGGATTTGGTGAGCAGACACAGAGAAGTGAAAATTCTTGTAGAAGTCACAAGTATTGACATTTGGATCTTTTTTTTTTTTTTTTGCCCCTAACTTTATTAGATATTTAAAAAATGAAACTAAAATGTTCATGTAATGACCACCCCACAAACAGAAAATAAACCATCCTCCTCTGCTTGGTGTTCCTCCACATTCTACCATTTTGGCTGTCTATCTCCATGAATTCTTCTTTCTTCTTTTTTCTTTTTATTCTGTAAAAGCTACATCCAACAGATAATGCTTACTCCACAGGCCTATCTCCTCACTGTCTACTTAGGCTGAAAGAGAAATGTCTGCCTAAAATGCCTTATTTTCCCTAAAATTTCTTATGAGGCCCAGTCCTATCCCCTGCACACTGAAAAACATCCAGAAATTAATTTTTTCAATTTATTTTGTGAAGGCAATTAATATATTGGTCCAACTCATAGCAATCCCATATAGGATTTCCAAGGAGTGTGTGGTGGGTTTGAACTGTTGACCTTGTAGATAGCAGTTCAGTGCTCATTCTAGAGTACTGCACCCAGATAGGTATTAAAATGTTTAAATCTTTTAAAAATTTCCATACACTTTTAGAAAGATTTTATCACATAGTCATAGCCATTTTGATGTGAAGTTTTCAGTATAAAGTTTTTCTGACATTCAAAATGAAATATAATTAGAAGTCTGATAAAATAAAATATAAATAATGAAAATAACCTATTTTAAAACTTAAGCAATCAAAACATTATAGGAGTTAAATCTACTTAATTAAAACAATGGATTTTTTTGGTAAAAAAAACAAACAACCGAGTTTACTGTTTAACACTTTAATTTTTAAATATTAGTTGATTCTTCTAAATAGATTAAATCTGAAAGAAATATAAATACCAATTTTGTTCAGGACTAGAACATGAAGGAAGTGTGGACATCTCTCTCAGACTAGTCTGGGTCAGTTTTCTGCACCATGACATTACCGTTGTCACATACCTAGATGGAATAAATAAATACCATATGTTACAAAAGTATTCAAAACAAAGGGAAAATAAGACAATTTGAGGGGGAAGGATCAAGAGAAAATTTTAAAGCATTTAGGCAAGTGATTTTCCACTCTTTCTCATTGAATACAGAAAAGGTGTTTTTTCCATAAAAATATAAAATGACTATGTATGGTTAGTAAGGAGCTCTGGTAGCGTAGTGGTTACGAATCGGGCTGCGAACCTTAAGGTCAGCGGTTCGAAACTACCAGCTGCTCCGCGGGAGAAAGATGAGGCTTTCTACTCCCGTAAAGATTTACAGCCTCGGAAACCCTGTACAGGGTCGCTATGGGTCGGAACCGACTCGACGGCACTTAACAACAACAACAACAATGGTTAGTAAAGATGACATTTAAAAATCAAAGCAAAGATAATCATTCAAAATAAAAATTCAAATACTTGTAGCTTTTCAAGTTGGTTCCAACTCATATTGTTCTACATCCAATTTCCAAAGCTGTAAATCTTTATGGAAGCAGAAAGCCTCATCTTTCTCCCGTAGAGAGGCTGGGGGGTTTGACTCATCAACCTGTTGTTAGCAGTCCTACAGCGCCACCAGGGCTCCCTGTATATGTTGTGTGTTGTTAAGTACCCAATATACATATATGTAAATGTTGTTGTTAAGTGCCATAGTGTTAGTTCTGACTCATAGCAATCTTGTTTTAGGGTGTCTTAAGACTGCAAATCTTTGCAGGAGCAGAAATTCCTTGGACCAGCTGGTGGACATGAACTGCCAACCTTGCAGTTTATAGTCCAGTGTTTATCCTATAGCGCGATCATGCTCCCCTATATGTAAATATTATTAAGTACTGTTCAGTTGTTTCTAATTCATAACAACCCTATATAGGGTTTTCAAGTCTTTAAGTCTTGGAGAGAGCAGAAAATCGCATCTTTCTCCCACGAGGCAGCTGGCAGGACCTAACTGCAAACCTTATGGTATTGAGTCACTGTGCTTCCTATATGTAAATAAATACATATAATTCATTGAATATACCAACAAGTATCAATTTTAATAAAATGAATGATCTGAAGTGAATGGTTAAAAAACAATAGCAACATTTGCTAAAAATAGTATCTTTTTGAAGCAAATTAGTCAAAACAGTAATACTTATTAGAATAGTATTACACTGAAAAGTAATAAAGTCCAATAGAAAAATAATTCAAGAATTAGAGAAGCAATTCTTTTAGTGATAGTCTCAAGTAAAATAATTTAAATATTCAGAATATTACAATTAGAATTACCATAACTAATTAGAATTACATGAGCTAAAAGATAAAAAGCGTATTCACAATCTCTTTTTAAGAATCTCCATTTTTTGCAGTTGCAGTCGTGTCTTCCGAGTTCCAGGTTCTCTAAGAGCTCCGACTGAATGGCCTCCCAGAACCGCGACCAGTGTCGCAGCCGCTGGGAAAGGGGCTGAGCTCAGCGGGGGTGCTGCGCGGGGCTCAGTGGGCAAAAGATTACAGCAGGAACTGATGACCCTCATGATGTCTGGCAACAAAGGCATTTCTGCCTTCCCTGAATCAGACAGTCTTTTCAAGTGGGTGGGGACCATCCACGGAGCAGCTGGCACAGTATACGAAGACCTAAGGTATAAGCTCTCCCTGGAGTTCCCCAGTGGCTACCCTTAAAACGCACCCACAGTGAAGTTCCTCACACCCTGCTACCACCCCAACGTGGACACTCAGGGGAACATCTGTCTGGACATCCTGAAGGACAAGTGGTCCGTACTCTATGACGTCAGGACCATACTCCTCTCGATCCAGAGCCTGCTGGGAGAACCCAATATTGATAGCCCTTTGAACACACATGCTGCCGAGCTCTGGAAAAACCCCACAGCCTTTAAGAAATACCTGCAGGAAACCTACTCAAAGCAAGCCTCCAGCCAAGAGCCCTGACCCTATGTGTCCAGATCCTTCCTGTATTGTCTATTTTTTCCTTAGTGGTCTGTCCGTTCCTTGATTTCTGTACAGGACTCTTATCTTAAACTGTGCTGTCATTTGTTTGTTTTTAAATTAACTCTCCTTTTGAGCCCTGGTAATGAATATATTAAATAAATACATTTTGGGTTTGCAAATCTCCATTTTAAATCTTCAGTCATCAGCTAATTTATTTTTTTCTACTTTACAGAAATATGTAACTGTAGTTATGTGTGGTAGGAAACTTTATTTTAAATTGTTTAGTTAATTGTTTCACACAGCTGGTAATAGCCCAATCTCCACAACATGTCACACTTAAATCACTTGAATATAAGTGGAATAATTAAAGACCTGATTTATTTACCCTTAATTATGATAGGCGCCAATGTAACTGTAACCTTTGTATTTATTGTTATTGTTACGTGCCATCGAGTTGATTCTGACCCATAGTGACCCTGTATAGGGTTTCCAAGGAGCAGCTGGTGAGCTTGAACCAATGACCTTGCAGTTCAAACGACTTTACAGTCTGACGCATTAGCTCAGAGCCACATATATTTATAGAAATGATCCAATTCATCTTACTTACATGTGAAAACTAAAAATATATGTAACACTTAAAATAATATGGATAGTATGTTAATTGAAAGTAAAGTTATTGACTAGCATGTAATAATTTTAGAATTGTTTTTCTGTACCTTTCATATAGACCAGGGTGTTCAATTTGAATTAGCTTATCTTGTCCATCAGGAAAAGTTAATTTACACCAACCTAAGTTGACACTTTGATTTACCTTAAAAAGAAAAAAGAAAGGTAAGTTTTATCAGTATAAAACAAAACCAACAAAACACCAAAAAATCTAGAAATCCATTGCTTTCTAATTCAAGATGCTCAGCTGCTCCCAGAGCCGCCATTTTAGGAGACACCAAGCGGGGGAACAATCAGAGCAGCCAGGGACTCCTGACAGAACCGCGGAGATAAAGGTGTGGGCACTCTTTTGTTTTTTTTTTTGGTATCTGTTCATTGGTCTCTTGCTGTCTGTGCACCTCCATTCTGGTGACTAGAGGGGGTGCCTAAGCACATGGATACCCACCCCCACCCCCAGAGGGTTCTACTATGCATGCGCACAGATCTCCTAGAAATTTAAAGGGGCAGTTTCAACTTAAAGGCAAACAGCAGTGCAAAACAGCCACAGCCAGCCCTGAATTGTTTATCACTAGGAAAAAGGCCTGAACAGGGATTGTGGAGTGGGACAGGCAGGCAAAAAAGAAATAGGCCGAAAATTAAATCCTGAGTTACTTCACAATGACCAACAATGGCATGTTGAAATTTCTCAGGAAGAAGAGTAAAAAGGGAAGCCCATCTCCTGATCACATCTACCTGGAGGCAATCAGAAGGCATAAAAAACACCAAAATACACACCAATATATAAACATTAAGGTCACAGATAACTCCTGAATATGCCCAAAAAACAGAAGCAGATGACCATATCAGCACATATCCAGAATTGAGATAAAGTCACTGAGGCAAATAAGCTGGAAGTAGACCTACACCCAATACTGGAAGATGGGAAAGCTTTGGAAAGGCCTGAGAAGGAATTCAGAAAAATGATTGTAAAATATATCAAAACACTATACAATGGAGTTGAGAAAAATAAGGAAGAACTCAGGAAAGCATTACAGGAACAATCAAATAAAAAAAGATACAGCATTGGAAACAATTCAAAACCTACAGAATGAGGTCCAAATGATTAATAATAGAATATCAGAAATGGACAATACACTGAAAGGGCAAAGGAACAGAATTGAAAAGATAGAAGCCAGAACAAGTGAGCTAGAAGATAAATCTCTCAACAGTACTGATAGATGAGTAAACACAAAAAGGGATAAACAAAATCTGAAGACAGCCTAAGATTCATGTTGGACAACACGAAGAGGAATAACTTAAGAATTATTGGCATTCCGGAACAGGAAGAATCACACAAGTCTACAGAGGAGATAGTAGAAGAGCTGCTGGAAGAAAATTTTCCTAATATCCTGAAATGTGAAAAGATAAGTATTCAATAAGCTCAACAAACCCCAAGAAGGACAGACCACAAAAGAAAATCACCAAGACATATAATAATCAAGCTTTCCAAAATCAAAGATAAATACTGAAAGTAGTTAGGGAAAAGAGAAGTGTAACATACAAAGGCAAGCAAATTAGATTAAGCTCGGATCTCTCAACAGAAACCATGCAGGCAAGAAGGCAATGGGGAGACAACCCTGAAAGAAAAAAAAAAACTGCCACCCAAGAATCCTCTACCCAGCAGAGCTGTCAATCAAATACGATGGTGTAATCAAAACATTCCAGGATATACAGAAGCTAAAGGGTTTTGCCAAAGCCAAACCTGCTATAAAATACCTCCTAAAGGAAGTTCTGTGGACTGAGAACCAACAAGAACAGAAAACAGCCAGAGAATGACATACATGGCAGGAACACCCTGAACTCAATCTACAAATGGAAGAGTCAAGAACAGAATAAAATTATAAGAACAGAGGATCTGGGAGGTCAGTCTATGATCAAAACAACTACAATGGGAAAGCAGGTAAACACAGAGGAACAGAGATCCAGGTGGTGACAAGGTCAGGTAGATTACAGGATAAAATAGACTGTCATAAATGGAAGGTAGAACTAATGGAATATAAGGTAACCACAACAGTGGAGTTGGGGTGGGGGGTTTAGTTTGGTTGTTGGGGAGGGCAATATAAGAAGGGGGAGGAGGAGGAAGAACAAGATAGATAGGGGAACACTGAGACAGGTTTGGATGGCCTAAGTGGGACAGAGGTAAACAGTGATGCATGCTCAACCTTGGAACAACAGGGTTCTGGGATACAGAGATCTAGGCATAG